GATCAAACGAGCGATGCAAGATTGTGGGGGTTTGGAGGGAAATGAGGAACAGGAGGATGGGTTGAGAACCATACTAACTATTAACCAGGCCAGTTAAGATCGGTCAGGTATATGAATATTATATAGGGCTACGATCCACTATACGGGCAGTTGAATGGGTTGAGAACCATCCCAACTGTTAACCAGGCCGGTTAAGATCGGTCAGGTATATAAATATTATATAGGGCTGTGGTCCACTATACGGGCAGTTGAATGGGTTGAGAACCATCCCAACTGTTAACCAGGCCGGTTAAGATCAGTCAGGTATATAAATATTATATAGCGCTGTGGTCCACTATACGGGCAGTTGAATGGGTTGAGAACCATCCCAACTGTTAACCAGGCCGGTTAAGATCGGTCAGGTATATAAATATTATATAGGGCTGCGGTCCACCGTTCTACATGAGCTGCGGTTCATATTTCCTGGCTGCGGTCAGATGACATACTCTTGGGCTGCGGTCCACTGTTTGGTTGTGATCAAACTATGGTGAGCTGCGGTTCATCGGTCGGTTGCGATCGACCCCTCCGTATTGTGAGACGGGGCAGGGTGCTGCGGGGCCGTGTCGGAGCTATATGCGCTGACCCTCATGTATGAGCATGCGATTGGTCCTGTAGCGCCAACAAAGTTTGCTATATGATGAGATGAGAGGGATTGATGTTGTGACTGTTATGGAAACGTGACCATAGGATTCTTGCTAGTAAACTATACATGCTTAATTGTGATTATGGGTTGTGTTTATCTGTAACTGTGCCCTATGTTGAGAATTGTATACACTTGGTTATGACTGTGGATCGTGTGTACCCCTATTTGTCGAGTCGGTTCCCTGATTTGAAAGCTAGAGTCTCTTAGGATATGTCTTCATGCTTCGAAATGACTTTTCGTATATCTATGTATAGATCTATATGTATTGTATTTCAACGCGTTGGAATTGGTTACCAGCATCTCTCGCTGAACAGATATATTTGGCTTTCAGGCACAGAAGTATAGGCACGAGAGCGCGCTAGAACCTCGGAGCATAGAAGTAGATAGTTTTCTTTTCGGACTGCGCGCCATATTATGCACTCTCTTTATTAAGGATGTTAGCTAGTTAGCCTGTGCACCTGAGTTCCCCAGCTCAGGTGTGGCATAGCACCCCGTACTCTTTGTATTGTGTTTTGGAATTCAATAAGATTCTACGTTTATTGTATAAGTTTTAAAAGTCTGGAAAATCTGAGGTGTTACAAAGTTACTAAGGAATGAAGTGCCTTTCGTTTGGGATAAAGCTTGTGAGTTAGGATTTCGAGATTTGAAGGAGATGCTCACGACTGCACCAGTCTTAATATTGCCATCAGGAACGGAAGGGTTTGCGGTATACAGTGATGCATCCAAGAAAGGACTAGGTTGTGTGTTGATGCAAAATGGGAGAGTGATTGCTTAAGCCTCGCGTCAGCTGAAAGTTCACGAAGAGAATTACCCTACCCATGATTTGGAATTGGCCGCAGTGGTGTTTGCTTTGAAAATTTGGAGGCATTATCTATATGGGGTGCGTTGCAAGATATTCACGGATCACAAGAGCCTCAAATATATCTTCACCCAAAAGGATCTCAATATGCGGCAACGAAGGTGGTTAGAACTCATCAAGGACTACGAGTTAAATATTCAGTATCATGAAGGGAAAGCTTACATAGTAGCGGACACCTTAAGTCAGAAATCGAAGCATACCGCTAGTTCTATATGGGTGGTGGCGGTTGAGCTTTGTAAGGAACTTCAAAGGATGAGCTTGGAAGTGGTGTAACAGGGTGATGTGGAGGCAGAAGTTTGTTGCTATAACTTAAGGATTGTACCTACATTTTTGGGGGAAATTAAGGAAGAGCAACAAAAGGATGCGTTTTTGACCAAGTTAAGGGATGACCTAGCTAAAGGAAAAGGGGAACCGTTTGAGTTATCTGCGGATGGGGTGTTGAGGTACAAAAGCTGTGTATGCATACCCACGTCATGTGATCAGTGGAAGCGGCAGATTTTGGAGGAGGGCCATAACACACCCTATTCGGTTTACCCAGGAGGAGACAAGTTATACAAAGATGTGAAAGGCTTCTTCTGGTGGCCTAATATAAAGAAGGAAGTTGCAAGTTCGTTGGGAAATGCCTTAACTGTCAGAAGGTAAAAGCAGAGCGTTGTAAGGTAAAGGGGTTGGTACAACCATTAGAAATTCCAGAAGGAAAGTGGGATTCTATATCTATGGATTTTGTGGGAGGACTACCGACGACCCGTTCGGGTAAGGACAAAATCTGGGTAATAGTTTATCGTTTGACTAAGACTGCCCGTCTTATTGCTATGAAGGAGACCTGGACAATGACACAGTTGGCTCAAGCTTATGTCAACTAAGTGGTAAAGTATCATGGAGTTCCGAGGGATATTGTCTCCGATAGGGATTCAAGGTTCTTGTCTCAATTTTGGAAATCTTTGCAAGCAGGTCTTGGAACTAAGCTAAGTCTCAGTACAGCTTTCCACCTAGCCACCGATGGACAAACAGAAAGGACTATACAGACTATCGAGGATATGTTGAGAGCCTGTATGTTGGATTTTCAAGGGTCTTGGGAGGACCATTTGGACTTGATCGAGTTCTCTTACAACAACAGTTATCATTCGAGTATTCGCATGGCACCTTATGAAGCTCTCTATGGACAGAAGTGTCGCAGTCCGCTTTGTTGGGAGGATCTTGTTAATCCGATAGTGTTGGGGCCACAATACTTGTTGGACACATCCGAGAAAGTTAAACAGATTCAGGAAAGGATGAAAGCGGCTCAGAATCGTCAAAAGTCTTATGCTGACCTGGTTAGAAGACAAGTAGAGTTCTCGGTTGGGGATAAGGTTTTGTTGAAAGTATCTCCCACCCGGGGAGTAATGCGGTTTGGAAAGAAAGGGAAGTTGAGCCCTAGATTTATAGGCCCGTATGAAATCCTGGAGAGGATCGGGGGTTTGGCTTACCGTTTGGCGTTGCCTTTGGAGTTAGAAAGAGTGCATAATGTGTTTCACGTATCGCAGCTTAAGAGATATGTTCACGATCTGGCTCATGTTTTACCACCAGAAGTGATACCGTTATATGAAGATTTGTCCTACGAAGAAAGGCCGCTCAGGATTTTGGACTTCAAGACTCGGGACACTCGTAGGAAATCTGTTAAGATGGTGAAGGTTTGGTGGTCACACCATGGGGTTGAGTAAGCTACTTGGGAGCTGGAGGCATCGATGCGGGAGCGGTACCTTGAGTTGTTTGTGGAAGGTACCTCGTTTTCCTAGGTTGTTGTGTGCTTTGTGTGTTTGCTTGTTTTGCTTGTTGCCTTGTTGTTTAGCTAGTGTGCTAGTTGGTGTTTGGAGTTAGTTGTTGAGTTCTTGGTTGTTGGCTAGAAGTTGGTGGTTGTGTTGAGGGTAGAGTTCTTGATGCTCAATCTATCCGTTCTTTTAACTCTTGACCAATCCTTGAATTCATAATGTCTTCTTCTTTGCTTTGGAACCCTTGTGAGTACTTTTGGAGTTTTGACCGAAAGGGTTGTTCTTGAAATTTCTTGTCACAATTTTGTTTCCTTGTTACCATTTGCTTTTAATTCGTTGTACCCAAGTTTCGGGGATGAAACTTCTTTGAAGGGGGAGAGGATGTGACACCGCAAAAATCCACACTCCCATCCATGAATTAATTGAGTAATAAATTCTAATTCTTTTGAGGAATTGATTCCTAAAATCCTGATTTTTAATACTCAAGGACTAGTATTTGACTAGTCAATCTTTAAGTTGTGTTGTACCTTGTGCTTAGAGAGGAGTTCCCTTGTTCCTTAGACTTTCTAAGGGTTAGTAAGGGTAGCCTTGTCTTTTCACCAAGAGTTAGTATTGTATCCTAACCTAGAAGACTTCTTCATTTCATTCCTTACAATTCCTAGAAAAATATCTCTACCTTCTCTCTATAATAGAAGTGTAGCTTATTCTCCAAGCCAAGTTGAGACCCTTGTCAAGATTCCAAGTTTTGCTTCCAAGATTCAACCTTTCACCTATTTGGGCATCTAGGAGGGTAAGATCTAAGCTTGTTTAGTCTTTTTGGTTCCATCTTAGTTGTCTTTTTCTTAAAGATAGGATCATATCATATCACGTATGAGCAACGGCAATTGAGGCCCATTATTCTGGGTAGGGGTTTCCGGCAAGGAGACCGCCTATCACCGTATCTTTTTCTACTAATAACATAAAGATTAAGTGGCTTTATTGAAAGGAAAATGTGTGAAGGTGTGTTGCATGGTATTCGTATCGCAAGAGGGGCTTCGCAGTTATCACACTTCCTTTTTGCTGGTGACTGCTTTTTATTTTTACGAGCAAATCTTGATGAGGCTTTGCAAATGAAGGGTATTCTTGATACTTATGCGACTACATCTGGTCAAAGAATTAATTTTGAAAAATCACTGGCATGTTTCAGTTCTAATGTTAGCCAAGGTGACACTTCAGGAAGATATTTGGGACATCCATCTTTAGTACGCTGAAACAAAAAAAAAAAAGCAATACTAAGTTTTATTAACAATAAAAATAAAGAATATTGGTTTAATAATGAAAATAAAGAATATTCGTTTAATGTTAGTATGAACTTCCTAAAAGAGTAGAAATATCACACAAGGATATATTGATTTGTAATTAAATGCTATTACGTCAAATTAGTTAAAATTATAATTTTTTTAAATTGTTGTTATTCGGTCAATTTTGATTGTCCTGATGAGAGAATTCAAATTCAATATAGTTACAACAAACCGATTACAAGAGTGTATATCTGAGTACACCTCTAATCACTCCTAACTAATAGGATACTAACCACATACTTATTCTAACACCATACATTTACTAACTATATATTATACAAGAAGAAGAAGAAGAATAATAATAATAATAATAATAATAATAATAATAATAATAATAATAATAATAATAATAATATTACTCACACACCCCCTCAAGTACAAGGTTGGTGAGAAACAACATTGAGCTTGTCCCGAAGTGCGGCGAATCTTGGACCCGGTAGCGGCTTGGTGAAGACATCAGCTAGTTGGTCCTTGGTTGAAACAAAATTAACCAGAAATTCCCCCGTTGCAACCTTGTCACGAATGAAGTGATAGTCGATCTCAACATGCTTCGTTCTGGCGTGAAAAACCGGTTTGGCACACAGATACGTTGCCCCTAAGTTATCACACCACAAATTGGACGGCTGACCAGTATGTAGCCCTAGCTCACGTAACAGAGAGACAACCCAAGTAACCTTAGCAGCAAAATTGGCCAAGGCTTTATATTCTGCTTCAGTCGAGGAGCGTGCCACAATTCCTTGCTTCCGGGAGAGCCACGAGATAAGATTGGACCCGAGAAAAACAACATGCCCACTGGTGCTCTTCCTGTCAATCGAACAACCAGCCCAGTCAGAGTCTGAGTAGGCATGAAAAGAAGCAGTTGGAGAAGAACTCAGGCGTAACCCATAGTCGAGAGTGCCTTTGATATACCGCAGCACACGTTTGACCATGGCCCAGTGATCAGTAGACGGAGAATGCATGAACTGACATAGGCGATTGACAGCATACGACAAATCAGGCCAAGTAATAGTGAGATACTGCAACGCCCCAACAATACGTCGATACTGAGTCGGATTATCAAAAGGCTCATCGGACAGAGTAACAGATTATGTGATCGATGTGGCAGTAGCAAGTGGTTTGCAGTCAGTCATCCCAACCCTATTCAACAAGTCAGTCATGTAGTGACGCTGAGACAAAATCATACCATCACTAGCTTCAATAGTTTCAATGCCAAAGAAAAAGCCTGGTTTACCGAGATCCTGGATTTTGAAAGCAGAAGCAAGGCGACCAAGTAAAGTGCTGACTAGGGTGGCGTTTCTGCCCATCATGATAATGTCATCAACGTAGACAAGGAGGAATACCTGACACCCATCGGAGATGTAGTAAAAAAGAGAGACATATGTTTTTTAGGCGAAAAAAACCTGCAGACAGTAAGAAGTCGTGAAGCCACTTGAACCATGCCCGCGGGGCTTGCTTATGACCATAGAGGGACCGTTGCAAGAGACAAACATGTCCAGGATGAGCCGAATCTTCATACCTTGGTGGTTGCTTCCTGTAGACTGTTTCCGCTAAGTGCCCGTTTAGGAAGGCATTATGGACATCTAGCTACCGTAGAGTCCACTTGTTGGTGATGGCCAATGAAAAAAGTATGCGAACCATGGTTTGTTTGACCACAGGGCTAAAAGTGTCGAAGAAGTCTTCTCCAGCCGCCTAGTTAAACCCCTTAGCAACGAGGCGTGCTTTATGTCGTTCCATTGAGCCATCTGCAGTGTGTTTGGTGCGAAACACCCACTTGCACCCGATGATATTCATGGTAGGCTCAGGTGGGACAAGACGCCATGTGTTGTTATGAAGTAGAGCATTGAACTACTGGTCCATAGCATCCCACCACAGCGGGTGACCAACAGCTTGGGAATAGCACGTTGGATCGGGTGCCGTTGCAGTTAGGGCCTGGAATTCTTCATTAGTTCCTTGGGTCATGTGTCGTAACCGCATGACATGCCCTCGGTCCTGAGGTTGCGCCCGACCCCGACCCCGACCCCGGCCCCGGCCCCGTCCCCACGACGGTGCGGCATAGGGCTCAATGGCTAAGTGTGGGGTCTCCTAAGCTAATGGCACAGGGTCCGAGTCATGTGTTAAAGGAGCGGGAGTATACTCTGTCGATGTAGTGTGGATCGGCACTGTGGGTCCGGCTGCCCATGGTACGGGTTGAGGCTCAACGGCCTGCGGTGATGTACATGTGGCAAAAGGAAAGATAGATTCATCAAACCGCACATGGCGACAGATATAAGTTTTCCCACTGGTTAGGTCCATGCACCTGTATCCTCTAAAGGATGGAGGGTAACCCAGGAAGACGCAGGGAGTGGAACGGAACTCTATCTTATGCCGATTGTACGGTCTTAGATTGGGGTAACATAAGGAAATGAAACGTGGTATGTAATTTGCGGTACTCACCCCCTAAATCTGATTGTATAGACTTGAGAGAGCGCGAGAATTGCTGCTCTACCAACACGCGAAACACATCAAAATTTTTATAGATGTCTGATTTTACCCTTACTGGATAAAACCAGCAAAAAAGGGAGTAGTCGTCAACAAACAAAGGAAAATAGCGAAACCCACTAGACGAGATTATTGGAAATATAGTAGATTATGAATCTCATTGGACGATTTTGAAGTTGATTTCGATGCGAGATTGTGTAATGTTTTTTGGAGGGGTGGTGAAATGAGACGGGATTATGAATTGTTTGGAGATTTGTTACTGCATGATACAACATATCGCACTAACAAATATGATATGATATGTGGGCCTTTTGTAGGGATGAATCATCATTGCATGAATGTAATGTTTGGTTGTGGGTTTTTGAAGAAGGAGAGGATTGAATCCTTTGTGTGGTTGTTTAGAGCTTCTTTAAGATCTATGGATGACAAGTGTCCACAATCTATCATGACGGATCAATGTGCAGCTATGGCTGCTGCTATTTCTATAGTTTTTCCAACATCACGGCATCGTCTTTGCATATGGCATAATGGTGAGAATTCGGAGACGCATATCAAGACATTAAGGAACAATAAGAATTTTATGGATATTTTTAACTGTTTGTTGAAATACATAGACACCGAAGCTGAGTTTGAATTTTATTGGACAAGGTATGTTACTATTTACTTGTTTTTATTTATGAATCTAAAATTTAGAAGTTTTGAAGTTACAGTATAGCAGTTATAGATCTATAGTGTACCAGTTATGAACATACAAAGGATTCTGAGTGGAGAAGTAAAGAAAATGGTGAAGATTTTCATTGTGCTGAAGGGGTACTTGCTATGATGATCGACCATGTCAAACTTCTTTCACATGCTAGAGAGGTATATACTATTGAGATCTATTTTTTGTTTGAGGAACAATTAATGAAAGGCAGTGCTTGTCATCAAGAAATTGTTTTGAATGATGGGTGTCAATACAAGTATCATGTGTAGCGACCGGATATAGACATTATAAGGCAAGAAGTTAATTTTAAACCAACCAATCTTGATGTTTCTTGCAGATGCAAACTATTTTCTGAAATGGGAATTCGTTGCTGTCATTGTTTACGCATCTTTAATGTAAATTGTGTTCCTAGTTTTCCTGATAAGTACATTATGAAAAGATGGACTAAAAATGTTGCGGCTGGTAGGAATGTGAACATTGATTCATTATCTTATAATGTTGGTGTTCCTCCTTCAATTTGGGTTGTTGAGATTAGTAGGAAATTTCAAAGATTAGTTTTTTCTAGTCAAGACAATAGTGTAGCTAGACAGTTTTGTGATGAAGCTGTTGAGAATGCAAAGAAAATGATTGAAGCTGAGATTGGGCAAGTGAATATTGAAGAGTGTGGTGTTTCATCTTCAAGTGGTATTGTTCAAGATCCTTCAAGCCGGAGATTGAAAGGTGTGCATAATAAAAGGAGGAGTAGTGTTATTGAAATGAGGTACACTATAACAAGGGGAATAAAGAGTGCCGCAAATAATGTTGCTTCAAATATAAAGGGTGTCGTTCAATCATTGGTTTTGGAAAATATAGCTGAGATTGCTGGTGATGGATATCTTGTACACCCAACTTCTAGTAGTTCACAGTTTGTTCATTTTGATAATAGTTTAGATTAGAATGTAGTTGTAGATTGAGATTGTGCTATTACAATTGGTTAGCTTTGAACTTCATATTCACAACTTTTGATATATACATTTACAAGTTTTGCATTCTATATTCTTAATATTTGTTCCTTATTTTTTTAAGATGTTTAAACATTTATGTTGAGAATTATAGGTGGATATGATCATAACTTTTATCACTATATATTCATAATTATAAGTTTATAATGTTAGAGCTCTGTGTTCATAATTCCATAACGGTACATTCATAACCCCTTAACTGTACATTCGTAATGTCATAACTGTACATTCATAATCCCAATACTGTACGTTCATAATCTCATAAATGTACATTCATAATCTCATAACTGTACATTCATAATCTTATAAATGTACATTCATAATTTTTGAAACTCTATGTTCACAATTTTAGAGCTGTTTCTACATAATGTCACAAATAAAAATTCATTATTTCGACACTGTATATTCATAATATCATAGTTATGAATTACATAATATATGTTCACAAATTAATAATAGAACCATATTATTTTCATATATACATTTACAAGTTTTGCAGTCTATATTTTTAATATTTGTTCCTTATTTTTTAAAGAGATTTAAACATCTATGTTGACAATTATAGGTGGATATGATCATAACTTTTATCACTATATATTCATAATTATAAGGTCATAATGTCTGAGCTCTGTGTTCATAATTCCATAACTGTAATTCATAATCCCGTAACTGTACATGCATAATGTCACAACTGTACATTCATAATCACAATACTGTACGTTCATAATTTCATAGATATGAATTACGTAATATATGTTCACAAATTAATAATAGAACCATATTTCTGAACCATAAATTCATAATAATAGAACCATAGTCAAAGGTGCAAAAATATACATTCCCACTACGCAATTCATAATTTCATAAATCAAAGTTCACAATTTTTCAGTCAACCATGTTCAAAATGTTTGTAGAAATCGACAATATTCCACATTCAATTCGGTTTGGACATATCCCTTGCTGCTTTCATAATTTTGTGCTTTTCTTTGTTCTCATCCCACATTATGATTGTTGCAGCATACTTAGCTCGCAACTGACAAATGAAATCAGCCTACAAATAAAGAATATTTAATAATCAGTTTCATGCAATGGCAAAACTATAGATTCATAATCCATAAACTGTACATTCATAATTCATAAACTGTAAATTCATAATTATTATACTGTAGTTTCATAATTCCTAGACTATAGATTCATAATCCATAAACTGTAGATTCATAATTACTTAAATGTAGATTCATAATTAATAAATTGTATATTCATAATTACTTAACTGTAGATTCATAAGTACTTAACTGTAGATTCATAAGTACTAAACTGCAGATTAGTTATATGCAATAGGTATCATATTATTGGTATTCAGAATATATTGAACCTAAGCATACATTTCCCTATCAATATAATCAAGCTCAACAGTAGGGGCAACAACAGCAGTAGGGGTGACAGGGGAATCCATGGTGAATGGAACCTTAATCAAAGGAGTTTTTCCCTTGTTCCCGGATGTTGAAACAACATCAGTTGGTTTTTCTTTAGAATTGTTGGAGTTTGTCAAACCAGCTCCACATGCAATGCTGTCAACAAGGGCATCCAATTGTCTTCTCTCTGATGTGCTCTGCCCTGCTGGTTTCTTATGTAATGGTGTTGGGGTTAGGGAAATTCCTAGATCAAAAGATGGAGCTTCTATTTCCATTTGCTTTGTTGTTTTCTGAAAGGCCATCCACTGCAGCTGTAAAAGTTTCTTGACCAAAGAAAATGTCATCAAGTTGGGATGCTGTTGGGTTTGGAGCTGCTTCCATTGTGCTTGCCACAGCAAGCATATTTGAAATTCTAGAAAAAAGTTGTCTTTATCACCTCCGCAGGTGCCCCCTCTTTTCCAACTTCAGCTGTTGCTTCTCCAAATTCAATGACATCGGCAGCAAGCTTCTGCAGTACTCGCGTCACTCTATCAAGACTGGATGGCGGCACAGAAACCGTTGGAACCCCTTGTGCAGATGTTGAAGTAGGAGCAGCAACTGCGTGAACAGTAGCAGGATTCTTGATTCGGGGGATAAGTTTTCCCTTTCCAAATCCCCCAGCCTTCTTCTCCGCATCCACTCTTTTCCTCAAAAGTTTAGTTGTCCATGCAAGAATTGTAGGGTATGTTCTAATGACTTTCATTCCCTGGAATTGGACTCTATCAACATAGAATAGCTACAATTTTCCCAAAGAAAAAAAAACAATGGGTAAAATAAATCAAAACTAGATATTCAAAATTCCATAACTGTACATTAATATTTTTAATATTGTATATTCATGAATGGATTTTACATTCATAAATTCAAAAGTGTATATT